CCCCCCACCCCGTATCCTTAGCTAACTTGCAGGTTGGGACGAGCAGGTGCCGAAGGGTAGAGAGGATCTAGACTGGGTTAGACTTGGTCCAGAACCCTTCCTCCTTGTTAGAGCCCTGTTACCCGGGCCAGGAACAAGAAGCTTCGGTGGAAAGGCACCTGGGCATCTCTTTCTACCAGTCGCAGGAGCCCGGCTTTAGCGGAGGGCGCCCCCTTCTGCAGAGATACGGGCCTAACACATTCTTTCCCCGCCCTCATCTGCTCGGGAGAGAGCTACATTGGGGACCAGATAGGGCAGGATCCTCTGGAATCCCGCTACCCGTGGAGTATTGGAATTGCTTATGTCCAGGAGCGGGGAACAGAACTTGGGGTGCCAGAGCTGCGGGTTGGTGAGTGGGCAACTTTGAGCGCTCTCGCCATGACACCTGGTGGCTGCGTCAGGTGGTGCAGCCTGGCCTTGAATCCTTGGGGAGCAGAAAGGTCTCTTTGAAGTTCCCCTTCCTTTGAAGTAACTTCAGGGAACTGGGGGATATAGGACCCAAGTTTCAGTTGGAGAAACAGGCTCATGGAAGTAAAGTTTCTAAAGTCCGCTGGTAATGGTAGAGCCAGATTGGAACAAGGTGGCCTAAACTTTAGTGAACTCCTTTTCCCCATGCCCAGGCCTGCCTAGCCTTCAAGATCACCCTCTGTGCTCACACTCACACATGCACATTCATGTACAGCCTTCCTCTATGGAGGCCGCTGTTCATATATGCATTCACAGTCTACAAATTTAGCCAGTCACCATGTTAGCACTGTAGATGCAAGGGACAATGAAGACAGTCCTTCCTCTGGGAACCAATGGGGACAGGCCCTAGTGAGCACTAACACAACTTCAGATGGTACAAGGTTCATGGGAAGGTGACAAAACAGGGTGGGGGGAGAGAGAATACTGGGTGTCCAAGTGTCTTCGACCTGAGGAGGTGGCTGGACTGAGCCCTGCAGGTCTCAGGATCTGGTAGCCCACATGGTAGAAGTTGGGAGGTGTTTGAAGATGGAGCTGTGCTGGAGAGAAAGAAGGTGAATGAAGTAGAGGAAAGGAGAGGAGCACTGCAGATCCAGAAGCTGTGTTTAGCTTCCACTGGGGAGACTTGGGGGATGAAGCAGGGTGACTCATCTGGTGTGTGCGTTCCCAAGCACCCTCTGGGTATCCCATGGAGAAACTGATGGGGGCTGAGGGAATGGAGACACAGTATAGTTAGGCAAACCGGAGACTCCAGCATGGGTTCAGGGGCAGGCAGAAATGTTTGGGTTGGGGGGTGCTGTTATAGTTGTTATGAGGCAGGGTCTCATGTTCCCCAGGCAAGCAGGGAACTGGCTGAAGTCAAGGATGGCCTTGAACTCCTGGTCGTCCTGCTTCCATCTCAGGAATGCTGGCATTGCAGGCTTTTGTCTCACCATTCTGGTTTATGGGGTGCTGGGGATGAACTAAGGACCTCTCTTGTACTAAACCAGCACTCTTACAATTGAATTATACCCCTAGCCTGGAGAGTGCTTTTAGAACAGTTACACCATGCTGTTCAGCAGTCCTCCCAGCTCTGGGCAGGAGGGTTAGTGCTGTAGGAGTCCCAGGTCTGGGTGATAAAGGATGGAGCTGCTTGGTTGGAGCATTCATACTGGAGTCCTGAGCCACTGTAGAAGGAGCCTGGCAGCTGTGAGGAAGCCAGGGATATGCAGAAGCCACTCCAGACCACAGTCCTAATTGAGTCCCCTACTGGAGCCACCCATCCTGATTACTGCACAGGCATATGATGGCCCTCCATCCCCTTAGTCATCCTCAGACACAGCATCTTCCAAAACATCTGTCCAGTGTGTCATTTCCAATATGCACCATTGTTGTCTTAGCGTAAAAAGTCACTCATGTTACAAATGCTGGGACACTCACAACCTGGAGGGAGGTGTTAGGGACAGACCATTGGTTCAGTGCAAATGCTAATAACACCTGTGGGAGAGGGAGAAGGAGGAGGAGGAGGAGGAGGAAGAGGAGGAGGAGGAAGAGGAGGAGGAGTACAGACTGAAGAGCATGCAAAAGCAAAGGAGTGGGCTGAATAAACCTAGTGTCTGAGGACCCTGTCATGCCCAGAGGCAGCATTGCTTTGTGCCAGCACTGCCCTTGGAGCCTTGGCAACTTAACTCAATCCTTTGAGTCCTATGAGCTAGGGTTCTTATTATCATAACTGTCGTGCTACAGCACCAGGAATGTGAATCTAGAGGATTTAACAAAGCCTCATGTTCTCATGTAGCCCAAGCTGACCTAGAACTCACTGTAGCCAAGGATGGCCTGGAACTGATCCTTCTGCCTCCATCTACCAAGTACTGGGATAGTTCTCATACTTTCAACTGTGCCATTGACTTAATGGAAAAGAAGACCAAAGGCACTGCAATCAAAGAGAATGTTAGGCACTATGATGGGGTTCTAGTTAACTTTCTGTTGCTGTTATAAAACACTGAAAGGATTTATTTCACCTTCAGTTCATGGAGGGAAAACCAAGGCAAGAGCTCAGGGCAGGAGCTGAAGCACAGACCATAGAGGAGTGCTGCTTACTGACTTGTTCTCCTGGCCTGTGCTCAGTCTACTTTCTTATACAAAGCAGGACCACCTACCCGGGGGTGGCATCACCCACAATAGGTTGGGCCCTCCCACATCACACAGTAGTCAAGAAAATGCCCCAAAGACATGGCCGTGGGGCAATCCAATGGAGAAAATTCCTCAGTTGATATTCCCTCCATCTAAGTATGTCAAGTTAAGTTGACAACTGAAACTACCCAGCACAATGATGGTTGTTAGTTTTCTGGCACTGTGACATAATACTTGAGATAAATAAACTTATAAGGAGGAACGTTTTAGTTCAGCTCATGGTTTTAGAGGTTTCAGCTCATGGTCTCTTAGTCTTATTGCCTTTGGACCTGTGGTGGTTAGGTAAATCATGATGAGATCATTTAGCAAAGGGAGATGTTGAGCTCATGGCAATTGGAAAGGAGGGGGAGAGAGAGAGAGAGAGAGAGAGAGAGAGAGAGAGAGAGAGAGAGGAGGAGAGGAGAGAGAGAGGCTGTGTACATCCCTAGTGACCTAATTTCCTCCCTTTAGACAACATCTCTTGGAGGTTCTATAACCTCCCAGTGGCACCACAGGCTTGGATCTTTGAGAGACATTTCAGGTCCCAACTATGGCATAGTATCTGGGCTGTAGAGAGCAACTGGGGTCTCCATGGCCAGGCATGAGCCATTACTCAAACCAGTTTGTGACTGGAATGCCTCAATGCCAAGGACCCATGGAGACCATGCAGCCCAGAGATCCAACACCTCAGCTTGAGTCACAGGCAGTTGGGGGAAGGGAACATGGAAAGGTGGCTAGAGAGGATAAGTCTGAAAGGCAGGATTCTGACCAAGAAGCCGAGAAAAGAGGTGCAGGGTGAGCCTTCCCAGAAGCAGGGGAGGCCTGTACTGAAAGGGGCTATCTTGTCACCCTAGAACCCTGGGATCTGTATGGTTCAGGCCCAACCACAGTCATCTCCTTATTCTTGGCTTCACTTCCTACAGTTTCAGTTCCCTACAGTCAACTGCTGTCTGTTAATGGAAGACTCCAGAAATAACATTTCACAAATCTTATCAAATATTGTGGTATAATTGTCCTGTTATATTATGAGTTCTTGCAGTTAATCTCTGGCTCTCCTAGTGCACTGAGTGAGCTTCGCATTAGCTGTTACAGGGGCAGGAAAAGCAGCTTGTTCAGGTACCCAAGGAACATCTTAAGCAGATTGCTGAGGATGGGAACACTACTGTCTTTCAGTCTCTATAGCCTCAGCCCTGTGCTCATGGGAATCAGAGGATCGCCCCAAGCATTTACAGAAATCAAACCAGGAAATAACAGTGCTGATCTTCTATTTACTTTCTCAATTTAAAATTTTATTTTTATATCACATGTATGAGGTGTTTTGCCTGCATTATGTAAGTGCACCACCTGTGTGCAATGCCAGTAGAGGCCAGAACAGGGTGTCAGATCCCTGGAACTGGAGTTACGGACAGTTGTTAGTTTCCATGAGAGTGAACCTGGGTCCTCTGCAAGAGTGGCCAGTGATCTTAACCACTGAGCTATGTCTTCAGTTCCTGTTCTATTTTTTTGTTGTTGTTGCTGTGATAAAACACTGTCAAAGCAAATTGTAGAGGAAAGTGATTTTATTTTCCACTTTCATGTCACAGTTCATCACTGAGGAAAGTCAGGACAGGAACTCAAGGCAGGAATCTGGAGGCAGGAACTGAAGCAGAGAGCATGGAGAGACACTGCTTACTAGTTTGTTTCCTCTGGCTTGTTCAGTTATTTTTTTTATACAGTCCAGGCCCACCTGCCCAGGGATAACACTCCACAGTGGGCTGGGTCCTGACCCACATCAATTAAAATTCAAGACAATGTTTATACAGTCCAGGCCCACCTGCCCAGGGATAACACTGTCCACAGTGGGCTGGGTCCTGACCCACATCAATTAAAATTCAAGACAATGTCTCACAGACATGCTCACAGGCCAACCTGATCTTGAAAATTCTTCATTTGAGGGTCCCTTTTCCCAGGTGACTCTAGTTTGTGTCAAGTTGACAGTTACAGTTACCCACAGTAAAGCTCCACCTCCCATCTCTCATTGGGTATATATTGTATATGTGTGTTAAATGGATTAAGTGGATATTGTGTCTGTGTGCACATAAGCATATTGATTCTTCAAGTTATGATTGAATGGAGGGTCCACAGTGTCCTTCCTTTGCATGTACTGGAATACCTTTTAGCTCTTTTTTCTA